ATTGTTCCCTCGCAATATTTCCTGGAAAAAATAATAATGTTTAACCTTACAATACACATACCGACAAAAGAATAATAGTCGATATATCACATGGCTCACAATATTTTGTATGTTGCATTTACCTTAATGCTCCTTAAATGGTTTTCTTTTATTTACAAAACTATTTTTACAATTTTTTTACAAAGAATTACTGTATATTTGTATATTGATTGAAGAAAAAGGTTGAAAAAAGTTAGCTGTATGTATTTAATTTTATAAAAAAAATGAACTGATTACAAACCCTAAAAAAATAAATGGTAATACATAGAATAGTTATAAACCTCCGTCAGACTTCAATTGCAGTATTTTGTCTCCTTTTTGTCTAATAAAAAAAATTGAAATTCGTTGAACAGTTCTCGATAAAATCGGCGAATATAAACCTTCTCCTTTTCTATTGGAAGTTGGTTAAAAAAGGAACGTTTTCATATAATACGCTGATACTTTTAATTATTCTGCAATGCAGATACTAAGGATTTGGGACCTTGAACGTAGTGTTGCGACGAATCCAATAAAACCTCAGCGTTCTAATTTCAACACAAAATCCATATCAAAGACATTATAAATGTTATTGAAATTAAGGAAGTTCTCAATCGACATTCGCGTGAACTAGTTTAAAAAATACCGCTGCGCTTGCGACCGAAATTGTAAGATTTGCTGACGAAATTCGATGTTATAAAAATTTGATATTACTAAAAAAAAAAATCTACAATTGTACCCACTATTCTTTATCACTTAAACTCTTTATCATTTAAAATTTTTCTTACAGACAATATTTTTTTTTAAGCAACTGTTTATGTAATTTATTTTTGACATCTTATCATCAAGACGATGTGATAATCTCGCACAGAAACAGAACGACTTGAAAATACGTTGAACTTTATGTTGTTTTTAATGTTGACCATAAAATTTACTTTTAATAACTTGTCTGCTCGGAAGAGTGCTTGACTTATGATTATGGTTTTAGAAAAAGTGAAAATTGTTTAAACGCTAAACGTTAATATGCTTTGAACACTGAAAAGGGTAATAAATTAAGAGTTATTTCAAAATTTTTACTATTCCGTGTCTTGTTGTCGTTTATTCGTCGTAGTTTCCTACCTTTGTTGCAATTTAGCTACGTGTTTACATCACTAATAGGTATAATCTCGGAAAATTATCACAATTTATATCTAAGGCGAAAGTTTATAATTTATGTTAATAATCTGGATGACAATACTGCTTATACAAAACAAAATAATCTGTCTTATAGATATTATCTTTGATTTGCTAATTTGTTTTTTACGCTTTATTGAAAAATAAATTGTTTGTCCCAAAACTAAAACTTTGTTTGTAGGGGGTAATCTTCGGAAATATTAATCCGGTCATGTATCAATTATTTCACCTACTGGAAGCTACATCATATGTGGGTAAATAGTAAGGGCAATAGTTTACGCTAGCGAAGTCGTGGGATAACAGCTAATATATTTGATTATTAGAAAGATTTAAACAGAAGACACATGAGTCCGATTCAGAGATCAATTTTTTTCAAAGGGTTTCTAACTAGATTAACCTACATTTAAATTTAAAAGTCACTGTTCTATATAAAAAGATGATTTCGCAATTGTATATACACGTAGTCTTTGGCAGTAACTTGCAAAGGAGGTTAAACATATAACTATAGTAACACAAGTTACGTGATGTGGTGCAAACGAATGTGCTTGTCATACTATAGATCCGTTCGGCCTAGCACAACCACAGATGAAACTTGGCAAACTTGGGCATAGTCCAGATGCAGAGGCCTCGATAATAAATATACGTAACACAACGACAAATTTAAGCCTTTAAATGGGGCAGTATATAACTAATATTTGGGTCGGTATAGTATCAGTTGACTTCGCACATTATTGATTTTGTACTGCCGCAAAATATAAAATTATTATATATTTATTTGTGGTTATGGCTCATTTGACTCCATCCATAGAGAAGGCCTTTAGGGCTGTGGGAACACTAATAGGCCGATGACAAGATGTTCTAGCGACATTGTGACAAACCTTGTGGCAGACAGTTGGAGAAATATGTATTAAGTGTCCTTGGGTATTGTGAAGGATAGTTAGAGTGTAGAATTTATTTTTAAAAAATAAATATTGATCACGAAGTTATTTGAAATACGTTAATAATATTATCCCCTGGACAGCTCATCGCACCAATGTCTGTTCTAAAATAACTTAGAATTAAGGAAGTGCAACGACTGTCTTTGCAGAGGATACTGAAATACTTCGGTCACATTTCTTGTAGAAGCAATGACAGTCTAGAACGACTGATGGAAACAGGAAAGGTGGAGGGAAAGATACCCAGAGGTCGAAGTCAAAAAAGATGGTCAGACAGTTAGAATATATCAGTTAGTATAGCGCTCCACCCACCAAGTAGTCGACCGCAATAAATGGAGACATGCACATGATAGCCTAAATAGAAAATTGAGTCTCGATTCTCAGCAATAATAATAGTAAAGGTCAATAACTACTACCGAAATATAATAATCATTTATCCAATAGCGCTAGCAAAGCTATCAGTCATCAACAGGTGGTATCCTAAAACATGTGTGATAAGGTAGCGGCCCATGTGATATACTATGCAAACAAAACTAATGTTGTCCTCAATTACTGCAAACAGAATGATCTGTAGTCATATAACGTTTATAAGTGAAAAAAGTTCGTACTTTGTACGCATGATACATAATGCACCTTGTGAAAGATAAACACTTGCGGTAATGAGTTGGTGTTATGTAAATTGTTTTGTAAATGTAGAACATTAGTATAATAAAAATTTGATGTGTTTAAGTACAGGAAAAAAATGTTGTCGGTGAAAAAAATTTTTTTCTTTGTTTCTCTTTCTTTCTTTTTCTCTATAAAAATAATTTAAAAATGTTATTTTAAAGCAAACGTTATTTTCTATATAAATTTGGGATGGACAATATTTATCACTTCGGGGTATAAAAAGTAGAAACGATCTATTCTCAGACTATAAATATATTATAGATAAAAAATAGATAAAATTTTATCAAAAACGATCAAGCTATATCGAAAGAGTGTGGTTTCTAAAACTTTTTTTGAGAAACCACAATTGGTTAATTACATAATATATTTATTAATATTTTTATGCTAATTTCAATAGTAGTAAACAAACTGTAGGTATAAAAAAGGTCACTGGTCTCCGCGTACAGTAGGTATATCATAAGTGGCAAAGTATTACAGACATCTTTGTTATTTTTATTTCCGATGTTAGCGGTTTAAAATAAGGGAGAAAAAAAACGTAAATATAATCCATCATAACGAACACAATATTAAATTTTGTGCACTGACTACAAATTTTTCTTGTATTATCATATCGTAATCTGGACTAAATTCAAGTGTGTTGTGTTTACTTGTGCTGTAAAATATTATAAACATAAAAGAAATTAGTAAAGTTATTAAGATTTGCTTTCTTCCAAATATATCTGTCATAGTTGACTGGTGTTATAGTTGTCAATAACCTTGACTGTAGTCGCGAGTTCGAACCCCGCAAAGCATAAAAAATAGTAACGTACACACGCATTATTATAGTATTCATTCAATAACTATTGTAACGGTAAGGTTTTTTTATAATAAAAATTATTTCAATTGTTTACTTTGTTATAATTATATTTATTCTCATAAAAATATGTTCTTTCTTTCTCTTAGAAGCTGTAAGATGTTTCCCGTAGGTGAAGAAACTTTAAAATTGTTCAAGTAATTTCGCAAATAAACAATAAACTGCTTCTTCTTTATATTATTTATACATATACTAAAATAAGCGTAGACAAAATCAAATTTTGTTCAGAAACCAAGCTGAGGTTAGTTGATTTAATGATAAAAATATATATTGATCCTTTCTTCACACTCTAGGTATTTTTTAAAATATTTTGTTTGACTCCTGTAAATTTTACTAAAATACAGAGCGTTGCACAATAAGTCGATAACACTATCTACTATTGAGTGGAATCGTTGTTTCATGACTTCCTCGCGTATTCTAGTAGCTGATAATAAACCTAATTGCAGCACTAACCAGTACTCGTGGTTTTCTACTACATAGCTCATCACATGGAATATCTACCTAGATTAGATAGTTTCAATTTTGTTGTTTATAATCTATAATAATGTTATAAAGAAGTAAAGTTTCTTATTTTGTGTTTTATTGTAGGGGGTAATCTTCAGAAATACTGGTCCGATCATTAGAATTATTCACCTGCGAAAAGCTACGTCACAGACGGGTGATATGCTGTCAATTACGCGGGCGAAGAGGCGAGATTTATTTTATATATTCTTAGTGCTATTAAAAGATAATTAGTTATATAACGTGACACGACACGACACAACTGTGAACACTTACTCATTATAATAGTTTTACGCAATATACGTATTTATATTTCTTCGAAAAAAGTTAAATTCCAAATTTAAAATTTCAGTAATTGCGGTTAGTGGAATACTGAAATGAAATTTAAAAAAGTTCATAACTCTGGCAACTCTGCCGTTTCCGTTCGTATAAAGTGCCAGAAATGAGGTCGTGACGTGAGAGATAACGAGGCGGAATGAGCGCCGTACTTACAACAACCCCAATGTACAGGTTCTTATGAAAATGAAACAACTCCGGTACACACTCAAAACACAAACATCAAAGCAAAGAGGAAGTGAGACGAAATCAGCAGTCAATAAGATAAATAGAGATATATGAAGTATTGCGCGAAATAAAGGGCCACGAATTATTTTACTAGGGAATTACTCGCAAATCTTACAATTATTGCGACCTTCTCAATATCTTATCTCGACTACATAGTGACTAGGTAGTTTGCAAGAAAAATGATTACCAGTTTTTGGATTTTACAGTTAGTTTCATTTTACCTTATAATGTAGTATTTTTGTATTAATTTGGATATTTGGAGTTATTTTCTCAGTTTCAAGTGATTTTATTTTATGCGCTCACTTCATTTAGAAAGCCATGAAAGTAATGAAGATATTATAAATCAAATAATTCTTCTTACTTCCCACCTGAATCGTAGAAATGGCGATCATGGTGCGAAATCAAATATAAAATCGTTCGTCAAGGCCAAACCTAACGGTAAAGTGTGATATAAATAATCAGACAGATGTTTTAAATCTATTTGGATTAACCAGTAAAGTTGAGGCCAAAGTGTGTGTATATTAATTATTTTTAATGTCCTAGAAAATCTACTAAAAATAAAATAAAAACTGCACTCTAGGAGGCACCCTCATTTGAGCATGATCCAGGAAACAGGTCCCAGCGCGCTTATAAACCTGAGTTCGTTGCAGGGGACGCAATCACTACGGTATTGTCACGAAACACTTCGAACGAGGTCAGACCCGTGAAACAATGCCACACTACTTTTCAGTTTTGATACGTTTTTTAAGTGCATTGCTTTCCTATTGGCACGATGACGAGGAAAAATTCCAAATGTTTGAAATTTCGAACTTTTATTGAAAGTTCATCTAAAAGGTTTCATGATTTTTAGAATTTTAAGATATTCGTAAATAGTTGCAAATTTGCAGTATTCGAAACTTATTTTCATATGTTATCATTTATGTAATTCTTAACGTCATTACAGCAGGCGTTAAACACAGTAACCGTATAATCAAGTTATTCAATAATAATAGTCGTCATTCGCGTGACATCATTTTCTGATTCATTAGAGGTACCACTTATGGGCGTTGGAACGTGTTTGTAAGGAGCCAAATCATTATCATTGAGAACGCAACACTGAATACCTATATCCTTGGATCACCAGTAATATTGTTTTAAATGCTATACAATAATACAATAATTTCTGATTCGTAGTATACACCTGTATTATATAAGACCCAGTTTTTATTTGTTTTATATATTGAATTATGATAGATTCTTATATCATAATCTAGATATTATGGTCTTATCTAGATAAGATGTTATGCTGATTTCTACTAAACGTTTAAGAGGTCTGTGTCACCAACATGTTTCGATCCTTATCTTTCTATTGCAGTGCTATCAGCGAACGTTTTGAGCGGAACAGGCGTGGGCCTGGTTCCGCTTGATCCAGATACTACTCTGGGTGCAGTGGATATGGTACAAGAAGGCGAGGGCGGCGCGACTGGAGATGGCCTCATCGCGCCGCGCCGTCTCCTCAATCCATGCCTCGAGAGTCCACAACGTATGGACTTGCATCGTGAGCTGCTTTTTAATCAGAGAATGTGAGTACAGTGTATTGATTGATGTCTTTCTCCTTCAATAGATTATGTTCCTTTTTCTGATTCCTTACTGTTTTGAATTTCCCTAGAGTCCAGGTTTTTGTACGGTTTGTTTACCCCTGGACACTATGGACCAATTACATACAATCGTATGTTGTACATTGTTTTATGATTAAACATAGAATATTATATTTATATTAATGATGTCCTAAAGTTTGCGGATTTGGATATGCATCATAGGGAGAACAAAAATATTGTTAGAATATTGCAAAACAACGCAAATAAGAATAAGTAAGAACAATTTAGATTCTATTTACCCAACTGCGCGACGCAAAGGAGGATAATGTGTTTATCAGTCTATGTATGTATGTTTGTTTCTATGTGGCGTTCTAGAGACCAAATGCGTAGGGCGATTTTGATGATTCTTACGTCAATCGACGTCTTAACCTTGCGAGTGTCACTAAAGACATGACAATAATCAAAATTCACCACAGCGACAACCAGACGCCATATTGTCAAATTAAAAAAAAACAATGAACTATGTCAAGTGGGGTGTCGTTGAATAGGTATTTTAAAATCATCTTTAGGTTCCTTTTTATCTTTTTTCATTTAAAATAATAGTTTGGGATATATAACGATTTAACGTTAATTTTCTTACTTATTGATTTAAGTTTTTATTTAAAGTATAAACGATACAGAAACAAAAAAAAAAACAGTGGAAAAGCATGCAGAACAAATATTTTTGGTTAAAAAAAAACTTTTATTCATCGCCATGTCGTCGAGAAATAAAAAGTAACTAAGCTCGATAATGACTAGATTGCGAAATTTACCATCTTATAACGAAGTCATGTGTGTGTATCGATTATAAATTTATTTCAATTGTGTTGTTATTTAGTATTACTTAACAGAATTCTAAACTACTGGGCTTGTTTCTATTTAAGTTAATTTTTATATTTATTTTTTAAATTCATTTTTAGAAGAATCAGTCACAATTTTTGTTTTTCTTTAAATTATTTTTTTACCAATTTAAATACATATATGGATGGTGTTTAAAGGTGGTAAAAAAAATATGTAAATAGATTTAGTAAATATGTTTGCGTTTGGCGTTACATTATCGACAAACTAATATAATTATTCATATTATTATACCAACTGTACGTTCATTATTGAGAGCTGATCTTATATTTCAAGAACCTTCATCTCGACTTTTTCCGTTGTTGTGAAGAAGGGTCTTTGTCAAAGGCATATTGTTCTTTGTACAAAAACCTTGCTATAACTTAAGAAAGATTAACGTGTCCTTTGTAATGATGTTACTTTTATGACTATAAAATTGAAATAAAAAGCTTCTACTTTATTAATTTTATCAAATAAATATACATGCCAGTAAAATAATCATAAATTAAGTGTTTAATACTATAACTTTTTCTATTCTTTAAATATATAATTTATATTTAATATTTTCATAATCCTTTCATTTCAACGCTTAGATAGCTTAGTAATAGTAAATTATATGTAAGTGTTTAGACAGGTATTATAATTATATTGTTCATCGAATCTTTTTGAAATACTGTGCTATGCTATGGTTATTGGCGCCGGAATTCTCTCGCATCCTCAAATAAGGTACCTTTTTTGTCAGCATTCTTTAGAGGTCGATCCTTTGAAAAATCCCGCTTTACTTATTACCTCATATAACTTAAGAAGAATTTTAAGGAAGCATTTAAAAGCTTTTGTTGTTGATAACTGACGAACAAAAACGTATTAGTGATAAAACTTACGATTATTCCAAGATGATTAAAAGACATCTTATATATTTAGTCAATTATATACAAAATGTTGGCCAAGAATATAGGCAAAATAGGAAGAAAATACTTAAAAAATATATCCGTTGTCGAATTAATTGGTTTGATTTAAAGTAGTTGATCTTTGGTTAGAATAAATTACCTATCACATGATATCAAATAATAGATATAGTTTTTGCTAGTCCTAAATATGTTTCTGGTCGCACAGGTGTACAGCATCCTGTCTGGAACTCACTGACTGACTGCAATTATGGAACATCTGTCGCATCTTGCTCTGACGAAGTTGGTTTAATGTTTTGTATAGACTAGCGTTGTTAACAACGGAAATGTAGCATGTTTTTATGGCAGTAAAACCACATTGCATTGTTGATATTTTATATGTTTATAATATTGGCATAGAATGCCACATTAATATAAAATTAAATTAATAAATTTTTGTGAAAGTTCAAATCATACCCTTATGTCATCAAAGGTCATTCCAAAAATAGATATAACCACTGTTGTGGTTGTATTAAAAGGAAAATCTATTTGAATCTTAATTCTTACTCTTATTATTTAGTCATGATCTTTATTGTGCAAAACATTGAAAATCTTTTATATTAAAGTAACATCTTATTTCAGACAGAAGTCTACCATTATTATTTCAAGCTTTTGTTTTAAAGGTAGTACAACTGTCAACACATTGTTATCTACATCTACTTATGTAAAGCTTGATATTATGATGCTGTAGAAAATTATGTAGCGTGAACAGCTTCACAGAGTTGACCTGTTGATTCAGCTCATTTCCTCGTCAATGTGATTGTCGCAGTCATCTCTCGGTGTTATTTCCGCGTCGCCGCCGCCGGGCCTAGCGCGGAAGGAACAATTCCCAGACCGTTAGCAGGAACACTGTGCTGTTATTTGACATGCCTAGGACTAATAGATATTCATGTTTATTAAATCTGGACATATTTACCGAATAGTAAAAAAAACGACTCTAATAGGTCTGAATTATAGAACTGTGTTCTATACTGTAATACATATGAATTACAGCTCCATATATCCTATAATCAGTCGACCATAAGACTGCATTCAACTTCATACTGGTGATTTTAAGATCTTCTAATAATTACCAGAATGAAGTCCCTCCAATAAAGTACCACTGTACTTTATGCTTTGAGCAATACAATCGTTTTGAAAGAAATATGTTTATTACGGTTCATTTTCATTATATGATTACAGTTTATTTATAAAACGTTTTGAAAATTAATTTTCAAAATGTATGTAACCCAATAACATAATATTCAACATAATACAATTGGAAGATTTTCCTTACACTCTAACGAGTACATAATTGGTATTTATTAAGTCACAAATCATTGGGTGCCCCAGAAAGTTCTGCTGTATTACTCATATGTTTCTTTAACGTTAAGAATATACAAATAGATGATCATCACTAAAAAGATCACGTTTGTGGTTGTTGCCACAACAAAGAAGTGTTAAAAGCAATAAAGTTGTCAGTGTGCTATGCATCAAGTTGTAGCAAGCAGAGCGAAGATGTTTGATGTTGATAAATAAACCGACCGGCAGGCTATTTACTCTCTGTTGCTCGCTCGGAAGACGTCGCTGATTGCGAACTGATTTAAACGATATTTCATTCCGATAGATTAAGATTTCACGGAATCAATTTATATCTTTTAGCATGTAGTAGTAGCTAGTTATTAAGTGTTGCGCAATTTAGATATTCTCGAAACTATGCTTAGTATTTTAGATTAGACAATAATAACATTTCATTAGACAATGTAGCTCGGTGGTGTAGTGGAGAAGCGCCGCGGCCCGCGATCGTTGTCGTTAAGCAACTTTCGCAAGGGTCGGTCACGGGATGGGTGACCAAAAAATTATTATCTCGAGCTACTCCGTGCTTCGGAAGGCACGTTAAGCCGTTGGTCCCGGCTGCATTTGCAGTCGTTAATACCCTCCAATCCGCATTGGGCCAGTGTGGAGGGTCATGGCCCATCCTCCTTAACCTTGAGCCCCTGCAGTGGGGACGTAAAAGGGCTGGTGGTGAACATTTCATTCTCAAGATGGCGTATACACTAAAAATTACAACAATTTAATTGGTGTTGGTACCAAATAAATACCTTCCAAATAAGCTTGATTAAAAACGAGAAAACTAGGTACATAATTATTTTAATGCTTTTGAAACAGTCACAACTAAATTTATTAACTTTTCTTTTGACTTTGTGTCCTGTGAGATTCATAGGGCGGGATGCTCTTGTTTTAATCTTTACGTTTTTACATATGTATGCTTTTTTAAATTTTGTGTAGTTTTACCTAGTACTTGAATTGATATTCACGAGAAGATATAAAATCTTTGTACATACATATATTATACATGTTTTTTGTGTTAGATATGTTTGTTATTCGATGCCTAATTATTTTCTCAAATAAAAAATTACTAGTATTAGAAATTAAAATATTATATTTATCAAAATATAATGTTTTGTACCAAATTCATATAATTTATTATATTTCTTATTTGGCACCACCGAACGTCAATTTAGCAGTACCTAATTAGTTGATTAAATCGCGCGTAGCGAAAACAACTCGTAACTAACGACCATGGGAAAGCTGCAGATGGCGATTCATTTAACGCCTTCTTATTTCATTATTTACCAATGGTCCTGTAACACGCTGTAATTATAGCCCTAAACTAATCTGATATAAGTACTTCCCATTATAACTAGGTTTGTAATTCAACTGAAATTACATAAATACAACATATAGGATCATAAATTAAATATGTATTATTAATTGTTTGGATGGAAGCATAGCGTAGAAGTATTTATTCGAAATTGAATGTTTTGTTTTAATTATTATCATAAGGACAGATTCAGCTATTTAACCTTTATAGGGTTGGTGGGTAACACGGTTACTTACCCTCACTCGCAATGTAGGGCTACGGTAGTGCAAGCCGACGCAAAAGACAAACTAAAACCTACTTTTTCTCGAAAGTTTCGTCTTAAAATACGTCGTTTTTTTTTGATAAAAATATAACAGAAAATACAACCTAATCGATGATGTATAATTTTATGCCATTACTAAAATTTTAAATTTTCTGTGTTCGGTTAGCACTAAACATATATTCAAAGGTTTATAATTTGAATATCGTATTAAAAATATGCTAAAAAGGGTTGGTTATAAGAATAATGATTATATATTTTTAATAATATCAAATCTCTCCCATCAAGACTGACATTGAAACTTAACACTCGGTGAAGCTCTATCGATCAGTTGCACAAACGTCCATTAAGGTTTAATTACGCCTTTAAGCTCTAATTAATGTCAAATTTGTATGGGAAATGTCGCTTTAAACTAATGAAAATTTTATGGACGTTTGTGCAACTGGCTGTATGATTGATATCTAATTTTAGATTTAAGCTCATTGAAACATTACATAACAAAACAGCGTGTAAGTGAAAATTAATTTGGCACAAAGATTCAATTAAAATTTAAGCAGACACATTTCAGTTACGTGATAGGAATAATTTGTTTAAGATCACTCTAATTTTATCAGAGATACTCGTCTGCGTACAAGGGTACGAAGACGAGTATAAGGTATACACGGTATGCCTCGGTGAAGAGCTAATTTAGTTATAAATATTTTAAACAGCAAAGAAAACTAGAAAATCTCTTTATTGTTACAACATAACAGAACATTTTACAAACGTATTGTGAGCAAAACATTGATTGTATTCATATAATTTATAAGATATAACTAGCTTTTCGCCAGCGGATTTGGCCGCGTGAACACTAGGGTGTTTTTAACTGGGTTAAAAAGTATATTGATCCCAGCGGATTTTGCGTGAAAGAGTAAAAATTGCGTTATTAATTTGCTCGACATAATTTTTAACAATAATTCTATATTCATATTATAAAGATGAAAGATTTGATTGCTTGTTTGTTGGCATTGGATAGGCTCCGAAAATATTGCACCAATTTATAAAAGTCTTACATCTACGGGAAGCTGCATAATACGCATTGGAGATAGGCTGTATTTAACAAAATTAGTGTTATTAATGAGTTTGTTTTAAATAAGCAATCGCATTTATTCATTTATAATTCAGCGTAAAATGGAATAATTTCAATAGATTGCAGAAAATTCGGGAGGTTTTTAAAAGTTTACTGCAACACACCAATTCTGCAATTAATTTTGAACTTTATTGAGTGCATACTAAGGCCTGAAATCGAATGGAGAAATTTAATCGTCTATAGTAATCTGACGTGCTTTCAACTGTATAATGCTTCAGTATCATCTCAATATTTTTCTTGGTCACAGACAATAAACTACTAGTCTAGGTTAAGTAATCTAATCTTATCTAACAAAATACAAGAATTTTAGATATATTAAGGATATTATAACGTAGAAACTGTGCCACATGTGTGCAACAGAAATAATACAAAAAAACAACCAGTTCTAACATCATCGTATGATACAACACATGCAGGTATTGATCGTGGGAACATGCTGTTACTGTTGTTGGAGAATTACTTTCATACATACAAAAAATCGAGGGGTCGATGGCACAGTTAATCAACTTTCGCAAGGTCATAGGATGAGTGACTAAAAATTTATTAACTCGACAATCTCGACATACTTTGCCAATATTCGTGACCTAAAATTCTCAAATCCTTGTGTTTGGAAATTTTAAATAAAGAAGATACAATAATACCCAAACCATGGCAATATAGAAAATTTCATTTCATACATTTATTTTATCGGGAATCGAACCCGGGATCTCGGGACACCTTGAAACCGTGCGACCGACTCGACATCGGAAGGCGTTTGTTCCATAACGAAGTTCTTGCCTGAATATATGTTGATTATTTAAAATCCTAACATACTAATCCTAATGATAAACATACTAATTCAATATACTATGATATTGCCAGTGACTATAAAAATAATTATCCAGTGTATATAACCATATATGGCAATCCGAGTGAATTTCAAACGATAAGATATACTAGTAAGACTTTGATAAAACTGAAGTTGATACCACGAGTTATTGAAATAATATCAGATACACAGCTCTGATATTATTTCAATGACATTTATGTCTTTAGTTATGTGAAAATTGATTTTTTTTATAATTCTTTCTAGCGAACGAGCTTTTGAAAACGCAGCGTTTGAGCTTGTGAAATAAATTTATGTTTCATAAACTTTTCAAATTAACTCAATTTAAATGTTGTACATAGGTTATATTTCTCTGTGGCCAATGGAATTTTTGTCTATTAAGTTTTTATTCTTTATTAAATCATGATTTTGAAATTCTAGTCGTTTTGTATATTATTCTATATGCATTTTTATGAAGAGATAGAGAAAATAGCAAGTAGTAAGGAAAGGACTAGCACGCTGCCAGTATCTCACCCAGGAATGGACGAAACATCGATTTTCACTCACCGTCACCCAGTCTAGAGTGAGCTGGGCAGACTGGGACAGATCATAGGATGAATATGTATACATAAATAAACAATTAAAAACTTTTTATAAAAAAGGGACCGACTTCAAATTAAAAAAAAAAACGAAAAAGAGTTATTGTAGAAAATGCTTTTGAAATGCGGAGGTTTGTATTAGGAAGTTTCAATTATTAATTAAATGATAGGCGCCCGACTTCAATAGCATTTTCTTGAATAATTTCGCTTTTGAGATGTGTATAATTTATTATACTATCTATGACTTTCATAAAAAAATATACATCAAAGAGTAACTATACATACTCGTTGAACATAGAAAATCTTCCTTTCAGATTTTGAATGAAGTCAAAATACGCAATCTTTTGTTTTTTAGCTGGAATGGGCCACGTCATAACTGTCAAATAAAAAAAGAATTTTTTAAATCGGTCAACAATTGACGAAGATATCAGTGAACATATGTACATACATAAAAAAGAACATACATCGCCGTCTAACCGAACATGGTTATATGTTCCTTCTTTAAAAAGAAAAAACGCGAATGCCAAATTTGAATTAAAAATAAAAGAAACAAATTGCCTAGACTACAGAAAATTCTCATTGCAGTTGGGGGATATTTTAGACTACAAATGTTACACAGAACGGTCCTCCGACAATATATATATTATTATTGGAATTTGGAAATTTTTTTTTTTTCATAATTTTAAAGAGACGTCATACATCCGTGATATTTAATATAAAAAATGTATAGTTAGTGTTACTCTGGATGATTTAAGGTTTCTTATGATACCCTAAATATTTATATCCATTTAGTCTTAAAAAATAATGGTGGAATTAAGAAACATACATAGCATTGATTAACCCTAAACACAATTCACTCCTTTTTTGGGCAGACGTGTAAAAGGTTAATGTCAAAAACATATCAATTGTATTTTTGTATTCCTTTTAACTTTATTTTCACTGAATATGTGCGGCATTAAAATATTTTATTATAAATTTAGAATTCCCTTTCATTCTAAATAACAAATATATAGTAGTTAATTAAATTTTAATTTGATTTCAGAGGAAAGAATGTCCTCAACCAAAAGAGTGAACTCCAAAGGGCGTTATCGAAACACAAAGAGAAGCAGATTATGAATCAAGTACGAGAGCACAAGGAAACTCCAGGTATTTATAAAACATATTTATAAAAGAAAACTCAATTCTGTCTTATATAAAGTTAATAAGCAACGGATAAATGTAAAGATGTCCCAAGTTGAAGTATTTTGAATTAAATATTATGTTTAAGGTAGGTTAAATGTGTGGTATTTTTAGAATTATTCATAATTGCACTGCACGTAATGCTGAAAAGAAAACGAGATGAGGTCAGCAGGTCCGCCAATGAGACGAATAAAGATGGATAATAGGATATTATGCGAAATACAGAGTCAAGTACTATAATTTTAAATTAATAACTTGCACACTATTTACTGAGGATTCGGTGGCACAGGGGTAGAGCGTTCAGTTTTTGATGCGGAAGATAACGAACTTTTTCAATGACTGGTCAGAAATTTATTATCTCAAGCTCTTCTGTGCTTCGAAAAGCATTAGTACTAACTTTATCTGTAGTCGTTAATACCTATCGACCCGCTTTGGGCCCGCGTGGTAGGTCTTGCACGGCCCATTCTCTCAATTCCATTCCATCCATAGGGAAGACGCGTGAAGTGCTTTAACAATGCGTAAAATTAATAACTTGATCATGAAGCTAACCTCCGTTTCCCAGTGACGTGCGCAATTGTCAACTTTAAAGTATATAATTATGAGAAGAAGAATAATATTTAATGAAAAATACATATATTTTCGCCCAATTATATAGCTTATTTTGACTTTATTTCTATAATCACAGACAATTTTATCAATTCTTTTCGGTCTTAATACCCTCTTAAGTTTAGTCAAATATAGAATATCTATATGATTAATCATTTTTGCTGTAGGGTCTTCTTTTTTCTAACTGTTCATAGCTAAGCCGATATTAACATTACGTTCAACTCATTTAATTACATCAAACCAATCGATTCTACTTATTCTCGAAAGTTCCGGCAGGTTATCATTATAGTTTTTGTGTTGATAACTGACAGATTAACCTTTGCCTGAGGGTACTTTATGCAATATTCTTGTAATCGGTTGGTACTAATATTTCTTTGTCCTCCTATTTTTGTTGCATATTCTTAATCATGGCGTAATAGGCATTATGGTTTTTAATAATATACCAAAGTCAGAATTTTAAATGAGTTTGCAGTAGGTCTTTTTAATACAATCATTTATAATAAAACCTTTAATGGCCTCCAAAGGATAAATTTACATTTTATTAATTTAAATAAGTAAATCAGTTTTTAAACTTTCTAAGATTTAAGTGGCGTAAATATTTAAATATAAAGGTTTATGTAAGTGCAAAACTAGTGACTTCTCCCGAATAATTAACGTCAAAAAAGCAGATAGTTAAGTTCTTTTCTGAGACGGGAACTCTTGCCAGAGCGGTCGTGAATGCCTTAATAAGGATTGGGAACATGGAGTGACTCCTATGATCATCTTGAAAATGACAATATATTCCCTCGATAAATAAATTTCGCAGATATAACTTTATTATTTGGATGTATAATGTAATGTTGAAATATTATGGACTAATTTCGACAAATGCAATTACTAGTCCTAAAATAAATGGGAGTATTCTGTCTCTAATAATAACCCAATCTAGGTACTCTTACATAATTATGTTCTTCGAAATAAGTTTTGCATCTTTATTTACAACTATGTAGTTGTTTTACCGCGACTTCACTCACGTAAATTAAAGTTCTATGTCACCCGCGTGTAACTCTCAGCTCAATCAGCTTCCCATAGGTGAAAGAATTTTTATAATAGGTCCAGATATTCACAAATCTTTCCAATTTACAATTCCAATTGATGTATTTGCCAAAATGTGGATCAGTTACGTAACTTCATCGACAATATTGGATCACTTAAAATAATTTTGCGAATGTGCGATGGTTTTTTATATACAATACAATATTGTTCATCGTTAGACCTCATCAAACCACAAGGCCGAATAACTTTCGCAGAACTGGTTAAAGTGGTTTTTCGCTGCACATTCGGCCTCGGTGTTTATCCGGTCCACAATACGAATGCACAGGTGCTCTCGGACGTTCACCCCGTTGCAGGCGCGGACGCACCTCTCATTAATCGGTCAAAATATTTGCAACGACCTTTGCCACATCATCTCCCAAAGAGAACATTCTAAGTATAATTATTATGTGCCAGCTGAAAATTTTATCCAAGAAAATGGTATAACATTTCTCTGCGATAGAGGCTATAGTTTTGACTTGGGGACTTAGGAATGAAAAGCATATAATACTCCTTGTTAAAGTGCCTCTCCAACGTCTAGTGAAGGGTTATCAGTCTTTTACAACCATCTTAAGTTCTCGCGAGTGGAAACAGCTCGGCTGCGCTAGATGTTCCCGTCCACACCCTGATATTTCGGAGCCACGACTTTTTCCTCATTCCAACGTTTCTCTTCTCAAGAATTTTGCCCTTCATTATAAGTTGGAGAAGTTCGTATCGCCAATACCAAAGAACATGACCCAAATAAAGACTTCGTCGCTTTATTGTGACCATGAGTGTTCTTTTTTGGTAAATACGTTTCAAAACTTCCACGTTGATCACCCTCTGAGTTCACTCTTAAGGACCACTGTCTTAGAAAAAAATGAAAAAGGTATGTTTTATCTTAGTCGTAGTTATTAATTTTCAAAACAAATTAATTAATAGGACATTATTTTGTTATCGGCCTGCTGTGACGAACGATTACGCAGATAAGTTAAATAAATTTGTTCACCTGGACAATGATATTTTAATAGTTTACACACAACCATATCTACAAGATTAAAATTACAAGAAAAGTCGCTTTACTTTATTGTTTAACATTAAATAAAGATAACCAATATGTATTCAACGTAATATGAAATGTTTGCTATTGATTACTAATGTTTGAAAAGTTTTAACCGAAGCAATAGTCATAAATTATTTAAAATATGTGATATTAGAAAAAAACTTGGAATTTTCCTAATATAATTTACTCAATAATCTTAATAAGTAAAAAACAAGTCGCTCTTGAGATAAGTATTATTTTCCTTTTTTTAAGTTTGAAGCCAGTTCTATTAAAAAACAGTCTATATTTAATGCTTTTTTAGTGACATTTTTTTTTATATAATATTTAATACTAAAAATACTAAAACCATGTTAAACCTCCTTTTGAGTCAGTTAATATGCCTTAAACCTTCTCCTAATCGATTCAACCAAATGCGAGATAATCGCGCACAAGCATCCTTAATAACTAAGAATTTACATTTTTTAAAGTAGGTTTGAAGACATCTAGTAAAAACAATATGACTAAGTTTGGAAAGGCAATTAAACATTGCGCCTGTCATTCATGTGTTCATTGAACCATCGGGGTAAATAATGTCTATATAATGCGGAAACGCTTCCGTAACTATTCAGATAGAATTTTTTACAATAGATAACGCAATAACGTACTGAAGTAATTAAATTATTTCCTTCCAATGTATTATCAACGACTGATTTATTAGACTGAACACTCGTAAATATTATTAAAGCTATTTGGTTGTTCAGCTGTAGTCGGAACGATATTACTCAACTTTATGGGAACAGTCAACAGATATTCCAAATAGAAGAATTCAATTATTTTTAAAGAATTAAACAATACGTATTATCCTAATTACAATCTTGTACGTTGTGGACCTGTTTTCTTTGTTTATTTACCGAAATAACATACCATTTTGATTAACCATTACTTATAAAGTATTAAACAAAGTTATTAATGACAAAAAGACATGTTTTCAAACTTTACATTAAAATTGATTGGTGATGTTATATTAAAAAGTTTTAGTACATTCCTACCTACCTAGAAAACGTTACTTAACCTAAAAAAAAACGTCTAAATGAGAATTCAATTTCAATTAAGATTCTATGATAGATTAAGAAAACCGTGAAACTAGTCGCTAATGTATTTATTTATATAAAAATAATATAAATTAAAAAATGGGGTTATAAAAGACTGAAAGTTGTCATTTTCACAAATTTTCACTTTTGTGATTTGTATTTGCTTTTTACATAAATATCATCGTCATTAAGCTGTTCGAAAAGTGATTTAATAAAGACGTCGAGACCAGATTAATATTTTTTCTTTATATACTACTTAGTATCTATTTATATTTCTAAGTTGGTAAACTGTTGGAAGATGTATCTATTGGTTAGCAAATTGATTACTTATCTGTGAATGGGTCAAATTTTGACCTCTGTAACCTTTTAGACTCAGATGTAACATTAAGATTGAAATTGTATTTAACTTGAATTATAATTAACCATTTGAATCGCATTAGTATTGATAAACTACGACATTTAGCGATTTCCACGCCCAAGTTGTTAGACCTGGCAGTGCCAAGTCTTAAAGATACTCCGTGGGACCGCCAAACTCGTAGCTATAAGAAAGTTTTATTGATTTTATCAATGTATATGTTTATATACTTTTAGAACGATAAGGTTTTTAATTATTTATTTATATATTGAATCAAACAATTTGGTTTCTATAAATTTTGAAATCGCTTTGTTTGTGAAATTAATCAAAGTTATTATAATTCAGAAAATAGTAATTAAAACCATTACATACATATTAAAATAATAAATAGGAACATTATAAAAGGATATAAAAATATTAATCGTTAAATGCAATAAAAGGTTTTCGATGGTACAAATAAAAATAGTAGCGTAAGTTAAGATTTAGGCAAGGAGAAAAGCACCCTTTTTAGAGAGTGATATTTGTGGTATTGCGATATTTGTTGCCATTTTTGCACATGTGTGGCATTATCATAGTCTTGCACTTATTTATATGGACTTCCGCAACTTAATATCTGGTACTATTCAATAATTTCAACATAGAATCAATATAGTTATCCCATAAATAATATTTTCAGAATTGGAACGTGCCATAGCTGAGCGTGCTCGTCGGCTGGAACAAGCGGAACAGAGTACGGAAGAATCAGATCCCGGAACTAATCCCACGCTGCAAGAAGTCCGCGCTAGACTCCGGCACGCGGCTCCTCCCGCATCGGCACACTAAATTACCCTTCTTCCTCTCCCAATCAAAGTCTAGTTCTCCCAATTTGAATCCAAAAGTATGTGTTCCTCTTTCAATTTTTATGTCAAATATCATTAATGATAGATGGCTACTTTATTGAACGCTCTTATGTGTCAAAGATATCCTCTTTAATGATTTATAATCATACTAATTACGATTCAGCTAATAACAGAGAAAATATGGGTTCAGTTGTTTAATATTCATAATTGATATTTGTAATGTAGAATGACTAGCGACATCTATCCAAACCGATCCAAACTACGCTTAAGCGCCATCTATGATTAGCTGATGTGAAGACCCATTGAATAATAAATGCAGAAGTTCAAAGACGTAGTGCCGTGCATAGTAAAGAGCGAAATCGGGTGTTTTGTATTGATTTTATTTAGGTGTGTGTCGTTGGTGTGATTGGTATGCTTTGATTGCCAAAGCTTTGTAAGAATTATTGTTTTACTTTATTGTGTAAATATCGAAAGGCTTTAAATATTTTTTTATCTTCGAAATGAGGTCACTTAAAGTGTCATCAAATAAATTGTAAATGTTTGGTTTCGTTTATATAACATCAGATTTTTCTACATGAAAAAAATATATTAGAATTAGTTTCGGTTGAATCAATAGGTTATGAAAACAATTTAGATAGAGTTTTCAAGAAATGTTTGCGCGATGTGATTTTATTTGATATTTTATTCGATATTAATAATGCTTGCGTTTCAATTAAATTTTATTTCGGATTTGATGGGAATGCACTTTCCCTTTCTTAGATACAAATGGTATCATAAATTCTATCGAACAAACTTGACTGAGAAATCGACTGCGTGTGTTAATAAGGGTAAAGTCGACTTTGAACAAAAAGATAAAATATTTTTTTAAACTTTTTAACGTCACAACACTTTTAAATTTAACGGTAGAAACCATTTGTAAGCGTTTAATGTTCTTGTTAAAACTCCTCGAAACTTATCTATAGATATACATAGATGTCTAGCTACCGAAATAATTCTTGTAAACCATATTTTATTACAATATTGTAGAAAGTAGATAGATGTTGGCAATTATAGACTGTATGATATAGATATACATATTACAGTATATTAATATTTTATCGAGAGTAGAAATCTTATGAAAGTTAGTAAAAGAAACAAAGATACCTTTAGACGTAATAAACTATCTATAATAATGTTCTACAATTATAAATAATATTGTTCTCTATCTTCAAGTATTAAGCATATAATAAATAGTTGACCAGAATGTTTGAATTCGAAGTGTTCATCAAAGTGATAGACGAGAAATATTTTTGTATTGTCGATGTAATTTCTGTAGGAACCTGCAGTGATGAAGTGTAAAATTAGACCCCGGTAAGTAAGTCAGTAGTGATAGAGACTCCAATATAATTATATAGATATATTCTAATAGCCATATCCGTTATTTTTAAAGGCAACCCTTTACGTATTGTGAACATGATAGAATCTCAACATCTTCAATATAATTATCATCATTTAAATGTGATCCCTAAACAACTATAACGATATCTATAAAATCAAATTCACGATTATTTTACGCATTTCTTTCTCCATTGTGCCTATTTAGATGTTGTTATTTACTTTTCAGAGTTATTTATGGTTGATGTATAGTGTAGGACGACTCTTACAAAAACGCGTAACAAAATCGAGTTATATTTAAAATCCACTTGTTGTTCTTTCACATTCGTTTCATTTTGTTTATCACGTATGTACCTATTTCTTTTACGTTAAGGTTTAATGTTAAGTTGTATTGTATCTTAGTACAAAGTGGCATCTTTATGAAGGTATATTCAAGCTTCGAAAGCTATTAATGTGGCCATTTTAATCGGATAGTTGACTCGATTGTAGTGCATACGAATTTTTAGCACACCATTTCGCTCAGTTCTTAAGATTTATATAAAAACCAGCTTTCTGCCAGCGGCTTCGCCCGCCTGGTCTTGTATTATACACAAAAACCTTCCTTTTGAATCACCCTATCTATGAACAAAAAACGGCATCAATATCCGTTGCGTAGTTTCAAAAATTTAAGCACACATAGCGTTATAGGGACAGAGAAAGCGACTTTGTTTTATACTATGTAGTGAAGTAGATAAAGTTATCGTTAATTTGGAAGTTAAATCTCTAATATGAAATTCTTTTTAAATTATGTTTAATAAGGGAATTTGTTTAAATAGTCGAGAGGAAATTTGAGACCAGTTTACAAATTAACTTAGCTTATCTAGTTTTACATAGTGTAACAAAATTTCTAAAGAGAATGATTTAGAAAGTAACTAAAGTATTCCATTTTAGGTATAACATATTCCATATTTGATCACTTTCCTCTAATTTAAGGATTCACCCTACAACTTCTTAAAATATCCAGTCTATGTAAAATATCCAAAAACAAAGATTTTTTGATACAAATATTTAAAAGTTTTTGCAAGAATACAAAATTGTTCGACATGCAATATAATCGAGTTTATTATGTGAATATAGTTTTTAAGTATTTTATTCTTTGTAATAATTAAACAGGTTAACGATGCAATTGTGTCATTTTCAATGAATTGCATAGACAAATAAAAATGTTTTAGCAAACAACACAGTTTTATTTAATCTATAACTCTTAAATAGTATGTTGTTTTAAACTTTCATGGACATTAACATTAGAATGATTGTTAAAAACAGGATTGCTACCTTATATTTTACGAGTTACTAATTTAGCTGCTTTCGAGTCCTTTTACATTTGATACATGTAGGGACTGTTCACAATGTCTTCATTACCTTGCATCTGCTCTCGACACACAGCATTCTCTGTATCAGAGTGGTAAGTGTAATAAATTTGTATTGAGCTTTTAATTAATATTATCAAACCAATTATTACTCCTCTAACTTTAAACACTAAAGAGGTGTCATCTGTAAATAATACTGTCTCGCACAAATTCTTCGTAAAGTGAGGAAGATCATTAATATAAATTAGAAAAATCAATGGTCCTAATACCGATCCCTGAGGTACGCCCATAGTAATGGCTGCCCCTGCAGATTTCGCTTCATTAATTACTAATTTTTGAATTCTAGCCGAAAGGTATTATTTTATTAGATTAAGTGAATTTTTCGATACACCAGAATGCTCTAATTTCCCGTGTAGTGTTTCATGACTATCGCACAAAGAAACAATCAAATCTTTCCTGTTTATAATATTGGTATAGAAGAGTAATAATTAACGAACAGTACAGTAGTATAGTAACCTAACGTACAAATGTGGGATCAGTTTTTGTAGCCAAAATTTTTGGTAAGTTCTTCCAGCTGAGGTTACATAGCTGTGTTGACATTTGAAGACGGATCCAACATTCCAAGTTCAAAATGTCCTGATATCGTTCGGTAAATTTTATATGGAGGTTTTCCAAATGTTGGCAGTAGGCAAATAAATAATCGTTACTGCAGGATTTTCATAAATTTGGAAAATTGTGAAACTCACGTCTGCCCAAATTCTTTTTGTGTAAAGCTTTTGGCTGACAAAGTAGCAACGACGTTTTTTGTTTATTGAACGTTGTTGTCGTTGAACAATTTATACAGGTCTGTCATGTAAGCTATATCATTCTTTGATGTAATGAGCTTGTTGTGCAATTCTGTATCTTTAGTTTCCAAGAACTTTATCACAGAGTGCAATAGGTTGTAAAATCGAGTCAGACGATTGCCTCTTGATAGCCAACGAACTTTAGTATTAAACAACAAACGGTTAAAATCCTCGTCAATAGTAACACAAAGCTGATGAAATAATCTATCATTCAAAAAGCTGTTCACTTAAGTTTCTAGCGACCAAATGTTGTCTATATATAACGTAATGTACAGCAAGAACATCTGGAATTCGGTTTTTAAGTGCTCTACGAAGCCGTTATGGCACCCTGTTATGACCGGGGCGCTACTACTATCATCGAAAATTACTCGTCTAGAAGTACTAATAACAATAAATGCGAAAGTAAGTCTGTTGCATTTTCATTTGGTTGTTTGTGTCTACTTTCTTTCGAAACGGAACCGATTGTCATGATTTTTGTTTCATATATTCAATAAGACAGTATTGATATATGACCTACGCGGAGAGAATTATCGAACCGAGTTTGAGCAATCTCTTAACTAATATTAGTTGATGTTCACAAATTGTAGTTGAGAGTCGAAAGCTCATACAGTCGGTGTCTAAGAGGCCTCCTAGCTAAATGAAATTACAAATCACCCACCACCCAAACCTCTACAGAATGCCCCCATTTTTTTTCTCAGTCTCCCTTTTTAGGCCTGCAGCGACCACAAGGAGGCGTTATCGCCAACTTTGGGAAAGGCTGCTATATATGTATCATCATCAGCCTTTTTACATCCTCACTGCAGGGGCTAAGTCAGGCCTTCCTTATGGATAGTTAAGGCTGGCCCAATGCTGATTCCAAGGTATTAATAACTGTGAATGTATCCAGGGCTAACGGCTAAATGTACCTTCCGAAGCACAGAGTAGCTCGCGATAATTGTTTTTGGTCACCCATTCGATGACCGACCCTTGCGAAAGTTGCCACCGATGTACTCTACAATGGCTTTACATAAAATCGGTAAACTTAACGAAAAGCGAGCCATATGGTGTTGGCAATATTTTACATTTAAATGTTTTTGATTGGATTAAACATATCTTAAAATTGCTTTGAAAAATAATTACAATTTGTAATACTCTTATTTTATCACTATTTCTTCTAGAACAAAATCAATTTGTCGATGTTTGTCAGTGACTGATTGTTGTTAAAAATTTTCCGCTCCTACTGATCTCTAAAATGCGGTACAATATAACAATAGACCACAATAATTTTAATTATATTTTTTGTAATGAAATTGTAGGTTCTAATTTCTCCTTTTCCCCGTGATGATTAGGTACCTAAAATTGTTAGCTAGTGTTACCTAAAGTACTTAAATAAATATTAGACAAAGTCACATACATTGCTCATATTCCAACATGAGTACTTAAAGCCTCCGTATTATGGAGAATCTGAGACAACGAAGATACTACAACACCCAAACCGGAAACAATATAGAAAAGTTCATTTTCTACATTCGTCCGTGAATTGAACCCGGGACTTCAGAGATGGCAACACCTTGAAAGCAGCATGTGATCCGCTACGGAGGTCGTCAAATATTTGTTTTATCTAAGCCCCTTAAATTGTCTGCTCTATACTCTTGCCTGATAAACCAACCATAATAAATTAGAAACTGCATTTCTTATAATTATCATCACTTTTTTTGGTGTAATTAATTCATTAAAATGTTATATACCTAAACTTGACTGAAAATGTTGATGATTTATTGAAACTTTTAATAAAAATATGGATTTTTTTAATGATTAATCAATATAAGGATATTTAGCGTAATTTCTATCTTGTTTATTTAACTATAAATAATTTATTGCAGGTATATTTTGTTGGGACTTGGAACTTTCATCTGCTAGTTATCCACCAAATAAAACAATAAAGAAAATACTATCGAGTTTCGTTCTTCATTTACTTTATTTTTGTAATTATGACATGTTTATGTTTGACTAATCGTTTAACATTAGAGACGATAGTTTCTGTACTCATATATCAATGACGGAAGTGAATTCCGGGAGTGTCACGAGAGGCTATTACGCATAAGCAAGTGCAGTTAACTGGACGACATATTAAAATGCACAGAATAAAAGTATTGAATAATTAATCTGGGGAAATTTATCGGGTTTTTGAAGCGTGAAACGCTTTCGTTTTCGCGGGAGCCCGCGTTTGGTAGTGGTCGCGCGCCCTCGCCGCAAAGCCGCCCTGACACCAGTCACCGCTCTGGACTCACGCGCGCCGTACCATGCCAACAGCGCTCCGCTGACCGCTATACGCACCGGTAAACATCCACAACATGTTCAAGTATATCATATACGTCCTCCTCGTAACCGTCATAACCAGCGCTCACGATGCACCAGGAAAGAAACCCAAAAGAGGCAGACGGCCAACTAAAGAAGAGAATTCCACCCCGCAACCCAGTGTGATCTCGTATTCGACGTTCGGCTTCAACGACGTTGGTTCATACGATGGATTTGTACCGACATCGCCGGACTATGTGAGTTATTTGAGCAACGGCAATCGTGAATCTTCCACCAGACTATACGCGCCGGCTTTTCCGTCCGCTCCGGACACGACGGGTTTCAACGGAGATTTTGGACAGTTAGATGGATTCGGTAATGGCGATCATGGTGAATCCCAAAATTATCCGCAAAACACGATTAACTTTTTCAGTACTCCCACTTTTGATAACAGTGATGCCCAGAATAAATATTTAACATCGAAAGAAGCTGTCAAAGATGGAGAAGGAATGAGTGGACCTATATATGGCACCAAAATAAATTCAAAAGGTAAAAAGAATGTAAACTTAAACGACACCGAGTTTCATGTGTACAGTAGCGGACCTGTTTTTAATTCTAATGAATTGGTTGGACGTTTTAAACAACAAGAAGTGCAAGATAATCACGACAGTAAATTGAATAACGGCGAGTCTGTTAATAACGACCAAAATGTATCTAGTTATGTCCCAAATTATCCCTCGCCAGAAATAAATATAGACAAACAGAGATTTGTAAAAGCTCAAACAAACCAAAATGCACTTAATTTTCCAAGAGTAGTCGATTTCACTAAAGTAAAACAATATTACCCAAGCGAATTGGACAATAAATATCAAGTTTCCACTTATAGTTCTATATTGTCTAATCAAAATGAAAATTCATTTCCAAATATAAACGAAAATCAAATGAATCAATTTATGACACCAACACAAGCAATGAAGGAATCACCGTACAATACAAAACTTGTTGATCAAGAAAATGAAAATATGAAGCAAAACGTTAACTCAAATATTGATTATTCATCAAATTTTATTAAACCAACAATGCCATCTAAGACCAGTTATAAAAATTCACTCTTTAATTCTGACTTTAAGGATAACTATAAAAATAAATGGTTTTCCGAAAATGTTGATAGTGATTCTCAAAATTTCAGAAATCCTTTTAAGGGATATGAATACTCTACTGACTACAGTAACACTAGTTTTAAGTATGAATATATTCCGGAAAGAAAACCTTATAGTACGGATGAACTTGTCCCAGCAAGCAGTAATATTGATTTGACTAGTTATAATATACCCGACATCGATTATTCAAAATTTAAAAAAATACCCGAAGTCAAGATTCCATTTGATGATGATGATTTCGAAGTTCAACATCCAAGTGGAGACAAATTTAAATCTGAAGAATTTCTAAATCAATTTAAAAACCTTTACACTACTACTCCACCTTCAAAATGGAGTAATATTTTTAAGTCTACCGAGTTTCCTTTCAAACATCGTAACAAGAGACCTCAATATGACGACAGTATAAATAATGAAATGGTTTATATACCAAAGCGACCCTATAATAATTATAGACATAACTATGGAAATAATTTCGATAGTAGTAAATTAAATGAGTACTCTAAATTAAGACCTCATAAATCAAATAAATTTGAAAAACCAAAGGACACTCGATTTACATCTGAAGAAGACTTACTGGATCTTAGAAATCATGACACTTCACATCCTTCGCACCTTCCATCTCAACGGCCCAATGGCAATGATTTACTAGACGATAGTGATTATAAGAAACTAGTTGAAAAATGGAGACAATCATACTGGAAATCAAAATACAGAGACGCTCACCGGGACTATGAGAGTTTTGCATCCGAAGAGAGGCCACTTCACGTCCCAATCCCTAAACCATACCCGGTAAGTGTAGATTAGTGTATTTTGTAATGTAAATATGTGTATAATCTGTAGTATATGTGATTGTTAACACTGCGATCACCTTTTGTAATTATCTAGCAAAAAATGGATGTGGAGGAATGCGGATCGGAAAAGCAGACAACGCACGTCGCGCACTAATTTCTTCGCTTATTCTTAGCCAATAAAATGATGCGCGTCCGTGCATCTAGGAGAAATCTTGAAACTAAACACTACCTCTGGACTTTAATGTTGGACGCAGATCTAGTTAAGAATTCTTAGTTACATTGTTTTATAGGTTTTGACCATAGTATTTAAGGATAATATTTTACTGAATGTTACGTGAATTGAGTAAGCATTACCTTATAGAAAGTGTAATTGTGGGGTTGTCTAACCGATAGGTAGTATAACGAGTGGTTGGGTGCTGATAATGAGCCCATCGACCCTATGACTATAGTCACGGTACATTAGTTACAAGAATATCATTCTCTGTAGCTAGTGAAAGCAAGGTGAACTCTATGGGGTTCTAGTACATTAACACTCAGGTTCGAAATCAAGAAATATAGAGGTAAACCTGAATAATGTATTAATGAAAAAATGTCTAAAACGTATATGAATGTAAGTATAAAAATACAAAATACAGCAGTTCATTTTTTCCGTTCTAAATTTCGTAATTTCTACATAGAATAAAAACAACAATTTTACCGCGAGCTTTTTAGCGAATACACACTTTTAAACGATCGTCACAACATATTATTATAAATATTACACTAAATTTATACTGTGTAGTCATTCTTTACATAAATTATTTTATTATTCACTTATAACGAGGATTATGTTGAAAGTAATTGTTGTAGTTGAAATATCCAAACAAACTGACATACAAAAGTGAATTTTTGACGTAGGTCTAATAATAACTTAAAATATCGAAAACGGAAAATCAAAAATAACATTTAAGATCGGAGACATAAAAATTATAAACGTTCATCTTGTTCTTAGATTACTAAGAAAAAGATGAACGGTGTCGATGGTTGTACGTCGCATCGTTACAATATTATGTTATTTATTTCTTTCTTAATATATGATAGATATCTTGTTTATTTTTTATAAAGATCGAAGTTGGTTTGAAGTTTTTTGTTAAATTCGTAACTTTACACCCGATTTCGGAATTGAAAATTTCAAGATGTCAAGAATGTCTCAAATTGTACTTAAACGTCACTTAAAGAGAGATTCGTTTTTTTAATGATGAATAGATAGCAGTTTTATTTAACATGGACATTTTAACTTTTAAAACTTAAAAAAAACATAAGTTTTTGAGAACAATTTTTGTACCAACAAGATTTTGTACCTTCTGTTCTTTATTCAAAAACCGGCTTATAATCTCGCATTAATTCTTGATTTTTTCCTAGTTATCAAGTAATGACCATATTACTAGTAAAGGACTAGTACCATACATTATTTTGTATGTACATAATAATTAAACTGTGTAATTATCTTAATACGTGCATGTAATGTTTGTATTTTAAAAGCACTTAGCACATCCAAACTTTTTATACATTTGATAGGATGAATGTCCAGGAGATACATCATTCTATTGTTTAACTGAAATATGAAGTTTGTAACACTATTATTATTTTTGTTTGACTAGTTTTCGCCAGCGGCTTCGTGCGCGTGGTCCCTAGGGAAATGTTTAGTGGATTAAAAAGTATCTAAGTCAGCTAATACCCTATCTGTATACCAAATTTCGTCAAAATCCATTCAGTAGTTTCGGCATGATTGACGGAAAAAGATCCAAACATTCAAGCAAAGATACTTTCACATTTATAATATTAATAGGATTATAATTTGATATGTGCCTCCGGTATGGAGCAAAATTTTGCCGGTAAAGCGAATGGATAAAAGTCAATTACATATATAACAATAATGTAAAATTCACATGTTTAAATTAATATATGTGCAAAGTGAATAATGAATAAGGTATGAGACATTTTTAAGCAATGCCCTAGTGCATATCATCGTGTGGATTAAACTCTTTCCACCCAGCAAACAGTAACTTTTAAAAGTTACAATATTGTGAATTTTTTGTTTTTAAAAATCATGAAAGTTTGCATCTTGCTGAAAAGTACCTGATTGCGCAATCGTACGTTTCCCTATTCCATAAATTATAATGAAACAACATTTTATTATTAAATTAACTTAATAGCAGTGTTAAGTGCTATACAGACAGAGTATCGTATAAATTAAGCGCAACTGTAGGTAATTCCTACTTTATTATTTAAACCTCTTGGCCGACTATTGGTTAAAGTTTCTAATGGAATAAAAGTCACATGAAAATTTTACAATAAATTTAACATCGTTTGTAGGATGAGGTGGATAAGCATGAGTTATTCTTGAGAAGGCAACTGCTAAGTTGAGAAGTATATACCTATTACATATTGATGATCTACTAAGAGCAAAATAATATGAAGATGTTGTTGGGAAATTATTCCGATCGTCATTTTTTTTATTTACGCCTACTATTCGCTAGACCTAAGATCTAGGTCTTACAATACCAGAAAGTAATGCAGCACATGTTACACTAACATGAATTCGTAGTAGTTGATACGGGAATTAAAGTTATAATTTAGTTTTCTACATAAAACAGGATCCACTGTAGGTACCTAAATTAGTCCTTACCACATCGTACATATTTTTATAACCAAAATCTTGATTTTCTGATATGTAACCGTCGCCCAATACTTCGAAATATGATTATTTCAAAGTGGCATTCAAAGCTAAATAAAAGTACTTTAATTATTAAAATTCGGTTCAATAGTAATTCCTATCACTTTCCTTCACCAATCGCACCCACACGATCGTGCAAAATCATATTCAACTGCTTCAAAACATGGCAAATACGAAGAATTGTATTTATTTGCATTAAACAATAAATTTTAATTGTAAACAATCAAAGTAAACTTTTATTAGTTCAAATAAACCATAGCACCGGTTAATGAGTATTTTTCACAATAACGAAAAGTAGGTACCGACGCAAACCAGCGCTTCGGCCTAAAAAAACTGCCTTCTTTACCTCTATCCTGTGGGCAACTGATGACCGATACATGCCTCGAACTTCTATAGATGCATGCATAAGGGGACTTGATCAGCTCTGATTAGTTTCTTTCTTCGTGTATTTTGTATGGAGATGCATACTCATCCATTTAGCTTTCCGCGTATAAAATGAGGACAAATGTGTTATTATCATACAAATATATATATCGAGAGAAAGATACAAATAGCTATAAGAAGATAGAGTTACGCCACAGTTGAGCGCTGTTCCGCCAAGCTTAGCGCTGTACTGCAGCATTCTGCCACAGAATACACCTGAAGGTAATCAAGTGTATGTAATTTTTTATACTTACGCTCGGCGGTCTAAAGGCGATATAAATAAAAGTAAATTATGATGGTGATATGAGGGTAGTGTTGCAAAATATATGTATTTTTTTTAATGCTATATTGAATATTTCATTAGACCTTTATTTATTTAAAATAACGCTTATTAATTTTCACGTACAATAAATCAAAGATTTAGTTAGGTGCTGATATTTGCATATGTATTTATATTAAAAAATATATAAAAATGTTATACGCCTGTTATAAAGAATGTGTTATTTAACGTCACATTATATTCGCAAATGTATCAATATAATTATAATTATGTAATATACTTACGTGAATATACGATACATGGGTTGGTAGGCAAAAAATCTTCCCGGTTTCATTAATGCTTACTGGTAGTTTGGGTTCTCCGTCCGATATAGGGGCGGGTGACAGCTATATTGTTTTCCAGATAGAAGTTCCTCATCCTGTGATAGTGCCGGTGCCTCAGCCTTATCCGGTTCATGTACCGGTTCCAAAACCGGTAGCGGTACCGGTATTCCGGGAGCTCAACGTACCAATTGAAAAACCAGTACCTTACCCGGTTATCAAAAAGGTCCCTTATCCGGTAGAGAAGCTCGTTCCTGTACCGGTAGAGAAGGAGGTCAGTGAGTATATGAGAGAAATAAGTTTACGTATAAAAACCGAGTGTAAGGTAGGGAAAAGATGTCCATAGCGTTATAAAACTTTAATGAATATTATATTTATCAAGAAATGTATTGCATGGCACATTATCAACTGTTCACATTGTCATGCGAATGATTACTACTTTTACGCAATTTCGTAGGCACGCGTACATCTTTTTCTGTATGTAAATAATTACTAACTGCTTTCTGCATGTTAATTATTCTATTGCATATCCGTATGCATTTAATGAAATAGTAGGAAGAAATGATATGAATTGAAGTCAGACATTATGATAGTTTTAATAACGTAATTTTGTAACATGAAATTAATTAGTGTTTTGTCCTGTTTGACCTAGGTAAAGGTACCGGTAGTTAAACCTTACCCCGTGCACATACCTCACGTTAGGCCTGTTTTTCATCATTCGAGACCACCACGGGAAGAATACGAGTCAGAAGCGGAAGACAATGATTATTTTCCACGACCTGAGAGCAGCAAAAAAACGCCACCTTATAAAAAGCGGCCAAAAAGGTGAGATTACTTCGTCAATTGCCCATTAATAACCCCTAATTAAGCACAAGCCTTTCCTATGGATGTCATCAAGAAAACCAACTATGAAAACCCATGCGAGTTAGTGTGGGTTTGTTGCAGTCTGGACAAATGGCTTAACATGCCTGCGAAGAACAGAGCAGCTCGGTATTTCAATATAATAAGTAGAGATCCATAAATAGTCTTTTATGAGATCTCATTGTACTTGAGTTAAACATTACATTACATCATAAAGTATAGTAATATAAAAGCTTAGCGAATTGAGTGAAATTGGGAATATGATTTTACTTTTGCTTGCAAACATTAGCCCCGGGGCACGATACTGCTGATACATTAAAAGTCATTAAAATTTTAAATTAACTTCACCTTAATAATTTACGATATCGCAAAGTAAATAATGACAGAAGTAAGAATGCAACTCACGTATTGTGTGTTATCGCGTGTCCCAGCGAATATAGTCCGTGCGTAAAGTTCAGAGACACTAAGATTCCTTTCTTTGTAGCACGCGCAGTCGTCCACGAAGGCCGACAAGAATGACATATCACGACCATAGCACTAGTAGACGACGATGGCCTTCAGCCAACAGACCCTCAGAGACCAGGAGACGCCCTTCGTCCAAAGAATACCATGCACCATACAGACACCGAGACTTCGAAGCCGATAAAGAGTATGACAACGAGCACACTGACTACTACTATTGTCAGAGAACTGGAAACTGTTGATGGATACTTCTAAGTGATAAACCTATGAGAGCTCTCTTAATGTCAAGAATGTTTTCGTTCTTGGAAAGCAATGCGCGTTTAAGTAAACGCAATGCAATGAAACGACCATTTCGGGCTAACGTTAAAGTTAACGTTAGCCCGAAATGGTCGTTTCATTGCATTTACGTGTACGCCTTTATGTTTTTCTTTTCTTGTAAAATAAATTACTTAGCAGTATTACGAATGAATCACATAAATAATGCATTTGTTATGAATGTAGTCTTATGATAAAATGTCAGATATGTTTTTAAACTGCACAAAGCCTTAATTGTAATATAAAGGGCATTTAAATTGATAACAATCAAGATAAATGTAAAATTATGCTCGTATTCTATTGTTTCTGATAATTACAATGATACTTATGAATAAGTAAAGCATGGAAGTAGCACATCTTCAGTTCTACTAGAACATGCGATAAAGTTAAGGTAGAAATTGCGAATAACGTGATGCATTTGTAGTTTGTAAATAACATTTTATTTACGTTGTTAACAATTATTATTCGTAATTGTGCCTAATAAAGATACATAATGATTCCCTTTAATTTATATATTTCATTTTATCTAGCAAAACGGTTGTACACATTGGCGATAGAGGACAATATATATGTGTAATTTATGCATTGAATCTTGTGATTGATTAATATAGTTAATTTCTAACATCTGAAATTAATCTCTTTAAAGAGAGTGATAATGTGTCACCTACATATCGCACACCTAGAGCTAAACTGAGACAACTCAAAAATTTGAGTGAGTTTTGACTTAGTACAATATTCAAATACTCGGTGATCTATCCAACATAACAGATTCAATAAAGGTTCGAGAATGGGCCGCTAGATAGTTTTAGCTTTCTTTTGTTGAATCAACAGTGGTCGCGCTCCTGCCACGTAAACAAATGTATTGTCAGACCTCCACAATAGTTTTTTGAGTTGTCTTAGTTTAGATCTAGGTGTGCGATATGTATCTCTGTTATTGTACTTACCGTTATGAAATTAGGAATTTCATATGGTATTGGTTGGTGTAAACTTGATGTGAGCTTTGAAATAATGATAAATATGAATACTAAATAATTAATTGTAAGTAATTAAAAAAAAATTACACATTGTCTGACTGCCAGGGGAACTTTAAATGATATCCATTAATGCTTAGGTTCATAATTCGAATCACCCCAATTTGGTTTTCGTTAATTGTTTCTATTTACATAATATTAGGAGTTTAGCTACTTATTATGGGATATGAAGTGTGTGGTGTGTCTCATGTTGCAAAGGACAAAATCATATGCTAATTTAATTAATAGTATATATCTTAATTTCATTCGTTGTTTCTCTGTGTGCCAAAGCTATTGTATTGTGCATTTTCCTTTGTAAATGATTTTGTATCTAGATAGCGTAAGTTTTAATGATATTTTATGCATTTTTGGCAGCATTGTAAAATATTTTAATTTTAATGTTTTATAATTTTAAATATTTTTAGTAAATTTATATGATGTTAATTTGAAAGAAGTTTTATTTAAGCTATTTTTTAAAGAAATTTTACAGTGAAAGAAAAATATAGGAATCGAAGCCGTAGTAAAATATATTATTATATAAAAGAGTTCACACCAGGATTGGAACCTGCAGAGTTTATCGTATTTATGGCGATATTTCGTTTCATTTTACTACTTTGACATGTACTTTAGTAACGACAATCGAAGATAAAGAATCATGATTATGAATTTGATAGCAGTTACCATACTTATTTATCCTAAATTTGTCCACCAAAAGACAAATCAAAGTAGTAAGATGAAGCGAAAAAATATCGTAACATCGTTAAGATATCGTGTCCTTTGGCTAGAATTAAGCCTAGAGAGTTAAACTATTGTACCTCTAGTGCGATTCTGGCAAAATGACCTAAGGGCTTCTGAAGCTTTCGGTAAGGTCTGCAAATTTTACCAAAACCCTTTTTTTCTTCTTCATTAATAACGTAATGTTCCAATGCTTAAAAAATCACACAACTCTGAGCTAAATGCATTTATTTATTACGAAATTTCTGTTGCTTGTTATTCTACACATAACATAAAGATAGTTTCAAATCAAATTTGTATGTAACATTTAAAATAAAGTATATTGTTTATGCCCTTTTAGTACCTAACAATGTGACAAACCTTTTTAATATAGTACCTCTCACTTCTCCATTGACGAGTAAAATAATTATAATTTCAGTAATGTACTTAAGAATTGCAGTAAAATATTAAATTTCTTTATCTCTTGTCTGGTATATATTTGGACTTAATATTCAAATATTATTATTCTACTTTTATAGTGTAAACTTATTATAAATATTGAATGCTAATATATGATACTTGATTATAGATTAAATGTAGTCGGCATTGCAGTATAGAGATCAACGTCCAGTTTCGCATGGTCGAACACTTTTACCAATGACGCTCCGATTGCTACGCATGTAGATGAGATGATGCTTGATCAATGAAATTTCAGTATAGAACAATAATTACAAATTAGATATATGTTATTACTGTTATGTCACAAGGTCAACGTAAAATACTACCTTTTAACGACAGCTCTGCCAACTTTGGGTTGTCTTTTTATTATCCTTTTTTTTAGACAGACAATTTATGGCTCACACATAAGTTAACAATTCTAATGCTTGGGTGGATGCCTTGGCATTCTATTCGCTAAAGGAAATATCTTCTAGACAACTTTTGAGTCGTTGAATATTTAGGTAGTAAGAGCAAAAGTACTATGCTAATAATACAAAAGAAAGCAAAAATAATGTAATTTAATAAATAGATACTAATATTATTAGTTCATGATAATACACAATGAGTCATAATAAATAAATAGATACATGTAGCAAGCTAAGATGTACTCTGAAACGATGACAGATTTTGTATGTCGGATAGCAGACGGCAGCTTCCAGTAATGCTTCCTAATGGGCCCATGGTAGTTTTCAGACCTTAAAGAAGCTTAAAAAAAAAACGAAAAATCGGAAACTTTCCCTAAGTTAAGAAGGACTCCGAGGGTCATACGCATAAAATTTTAAACAGGAAAGTAAGAACGTGGTCTTCATGTCGCTGTCTAATGGGCTTAATAATAATATTCTCGCTCTTGGCATGTACCATTAAATAAAACCAGCAAATACAACCCTTGTGTTAAGAAAATTTTAGGCACAGAAAGTGTAACCGTTAATTTATTGATAAATAGTTGAAGAAAATGTTTACAAGGAAATTTTACGCCTTCATAGGACTACAAGCAAATGCTCTCTAGCCCACGAAATCAGGCGTTTCGACTTAAATGCCAAATTAATTAAGCTCAGAATTGAATAAGTTTTCTAAATTATTTCGCAGCAATGCCAATTAGTGAATGTGGGTCATTGTTAGCGGTTGTGGTTGATGCTCATTGTCACCATTCACCCCGGAATATTTACTTTGTCATTGTCGAACGGATAGCCCAGTGACATATTTCCCATAACATACCTAATAAAATTTTCTTTCATTTATTAGCGAAATAATTAATCCTAATTCAAGCGAAAAAAAGCAGGGTTTCCTGTTGGAAGGAAACCCTGCTCTGTTTCTCTTGAATTAATAGAAAATTCCTGTTGGAAGGTTTATTCTAAAATGTGGAAGAGGTCATTACGGAATGTGATTTTCCAATATCTATTTTAGTTTTGTCATATGACTTAATATTCTGGACTTCGATTTTTTAACACCGATGGCTAAAACATGAAATAAATCGATATATCGCAGAAATATGATTTGGGATTAAGGTGGGTATATCACTTAGGTATTAGATTCTGATTTTCACAACCCTGCGACCAATAAATGATCTAAATAAAGACGCAAAATGAACACTACACTTTCACGAGGCCGATCGAAGGAGTTATTGAGTTTTTGTGATCAATGTGGCGTATTATGTATGAAGTAAGCAAGATAGCTACATCATTTTAATAGAAAACTCCATTCGAAAGAATTTTCCTATCATTCTCATAAAGTGTATATAAAGTGTAATAAAGCATCTACTTAATTGGCGCCAAAGGACTTTAAAAATTCCATTTCCTCGTTTTTAACTAACTTCACTAAATATGTTAATTTATGAATGTAATTTTGTTGGAATGACACAATATTCATATAGGTAAGTAATGTTAGTCTATCTATTTTCTTTTAAGTGCATGTCGTAAATTTTGTAAGTGTACAATGTGTATATACATTTTACTCATTGTAATATAGGTTTTACTCATATTAAAGAATGAGGAGATAAAAATTAAAAAAGAATAAATTGATTACAAAAAAGTGAAAAAGATATAAGAAATTTCTATTGAAGTCGGATCAACAAACAAATTCTCCACCCAACTTCAATAGAAGTTTATTTTTTTAAAGTTAGTTTTATTTTTTCAACTTACCTTAACGCAAATCAAGCTATTCTTCTAAACTAAACCAATAGCCGACAGCATAATAAATACTATCAAACAAACTTCTGAAGTCGATTGGTCAAGCAACAACTTTGCTACAAACTTAAAAAAAAAGATTTTTAATAAAGTCTATTAATACCAACTATATAGATAGGTAAGTACATAAACTACATAGCATAATGATTATACGACACTAGCTGTTATCTCGGGACTTCGCCCGCGTAAATTATTGCCAATGTCAACTGCGTATAATGTAGCTTTCCGTAGGTAAAGGAATTTTTAAAATTGGTCCAAGTTTTTAGGAGTTTATTCGATACCTCTTGCTCTCAAAAATAATAGGAGTTTATTGACTGGCTGTTACTTAAAAAAATAACATAATAGAGCGGACCAATGCAGTAAATAATGTTTTAGCCCATTTCGTTGGTGTTGTATTCTAAAATTAATTTAAAGATGTCACATCAACAATTATTGAAAATGAAATTCATGAAATTCATTATACAATGAAAAGTGTATTGGTGATTCACACCAATACACTTTTCATTGTATGATTTGACATAAAATGAGACAATTTAGCTGTCGGGCAGCGGATACGCTGGTTGTGCTTGTAAACCTTGAATTATTCGTGTTAAATTCACGGCGTGTGCGCAACATCACACGTGATGGGACAATGATCCGTGATCGCTGATTGGACTCCCATCGATCAGGGTGGTTGCTTAACTTTTTTATGCTGGCCTTTAGTGTAACTGTGTGATTAACAGTGCGTTACAACCTATAACGCGTGAGTTTATGTGTAGCTAGGTATAAGTAATGGTTAAACACATAAAATTTTGTTACATAAAAGTCCCTCTAAGTTGAACAGTTACGTGAAGTGTAAGGTGTAGTGTAATAATGAATAAAATCTATACTAATATTATAATGGGGCGACATTTCTACTTTTGTTTATAGATAATCTTCGGAAATACTGATACGTAAAATTCGAAAATTCTGAAATGCTAAGTCACAATTTACACGGATGCGGGAAAACAACATAAAGTTTTAAAAAAATTATCAAACTTGTTTTTATTTAATTTTTGCATTAAATAATGTAATAAAATAACTTTTAATTAAGTAAAATGTGTTGTGGTATACTTTGGTCTCTTACCTGGCTGTCTTTGAACTACGCCGCAGTAGACAACTGGGCTAAATTCTGGTTCCTGTGTCAATGGCGTTTCCATAACATTTATTGTATAGTTCTTGCAACTATATAAAAAAGAGATTCAAATAAAAGT